CATGAACATGAATAAGCCTTCATGAATATTTATGACTGTTGTCATAAAGCGTCATTCGGTAAATTATGACACTTTTAATACAAAGTTGACATTATTCAAAATGTCTTTGTTATGACAACTTGACATTAACCAGGAAATCATTACTGTTTAAACTTTACCTTTAGTAACATAAAGTTAACTCATTTTTAAAGTGCAATCAGTAATACTTTTATAACAAATTTATATCAGTAATGATTTCTTGGTTAATGTCAAGTTGTCATAACAAAGACATTTTGAATAATGTCAACTTTGTATTAAAAGTGTCATAATTTACCAAATGACTCTTTATGACAACAGTCATAAATATTCATGAAGGCTTATTCATGTTCATGACGGGTGTCGTGTCACGTTCATGACGGGTGTCGTGTCACGTTCATGACGGGTGTCGTGTCACGTTCATGACGGGTGTCGTGTCACGTTCATGACGGGTGTTATGTCAGTCTTATTCACCCCCCTTCAAATAAAGTGTTACCAAGCTTTCTAACAGAAAGTGCACTGACTGCTTCCATCAGGGTACGTCCGTTTTCCATGTCATGTTTCTAGAGTTTTCAGTCCTTCTCTGCTCATTTTAAAAGGACTAACATCCACTATTAATTTATGGCAGAAATTTTCTGTGTATTCGGGCTTCAAATATGGATTCTGCAAAACAGGCGACTCCATAGACGTGTGTGTGAGATTTAAACACACACACTAAACACTGTTCTTCGTATATAAACATATGTGCTCACATCAGTCTCGCTGCGCGCAGTGAGGTTTTTATGTTTGACGTGTCCTTTGGTTCAATATTCTCTGAAAAGATAGCCTTTGTAAATCAAGCCTATAAATTCAGGTACATATGAACCCGCTCTGCAAGATCTCCTTCCAAGTCGGCCATATTGAATGAAAGGAGGAGCGAAGGATCCGCACAGAGCTCATTGTGTCAACTATAAACCTAGCTTAACCTGTCTGCCATCACCGTTACTGGTATATAGAAAACTATTTAAAATAAATAAATAATTTAAAATAAATAAACAATGATCAGCCTGGTAGGGAGGCAATTACAGCCTGGCAGCCCACCAAGCTCATAACAAACTGAGGGAAACCCTGGAAACCGAAAAGGCCTGGGAAGACATGTTTTCCCATACCGTATCTTCTTTTTCCTTGCATATCCAAGCTTATTATGTCTTTTTTAGGTAACTGCATGGAACGCAGATCCTTAAATGCAGTTGTTTGTGGTGCAACCATAGCACCACAAACAAAAATACTGCTCTTAAAAAAAAATTCCCATTTGAAATTGGCTTCTTCAGGAAGCCACTTACTTAAAAAAGAGTGATTTATATCACTGAATTTCACACAGCAATTACTTTTAAATTATATTTTTTTAATTTAAAGATGCATTTTTGATGCTTGTGGAACAAACAGTGGAGAAATTAGTAAAAATACTATAAGTAATAAATGTAGTAAGACAATAATCAATCAAAATTCTTTTAAGTCTTTACACTACATGATAAACAACATGATAAATAACCAAGCCAGTCATTGCTACACCCACAAGCTTGTTCTGCATCACTATTAACGTCACATAACCAAACACCCCAAACCAACGCCCTCATCCCTTCCACACACAAACAAGTTGGAAATAAATACTGGGAATTAATATTGGTCCAGTTGTACTTGTCGGACCAATACCAATGTGGTGTTTCCCACCCCATCGCCTTTGAACCGTGATCTAAACAATCATCCCATCATCATCTCCATTTCCCTGCTTCTGAAGTCTCCCCAGAAGAAGACTCCATTTATTTATTTAGTTTTTTGGTTTCCTGCAGAAAGCATTCCTCTCTAATGATAGGGGAAGTTACAAGGGGGGTCCATGCAAACACTGTGGCAGGAGAAAACACCCAACCTAAATCTGGTCCTCCTATTAAGACAGAGGGTGGGGAAACGGAGCTGAGATCTTCGACACCACATCTGTGACCAGCAGACTTCCTGAGACACGCTCAGGGTTGGTTAGATTAAACAGTCTGGGTGGAACTGGAGCAGTAAACATGGCTATAAGGAGTTCAAATGACAAGGGTGTTGTGTTTTGTTGTGAAGTGTCTACTAACAGTTACACTTATTTCATGCTTTTAATTTGACCAAACGTCTTGGATGCCTCGCTGTCAAACATCAGCATCCATCAGAAGCAGCAGCAGCAGCAGCATAACTCTCCTGCTCTGAAACCACAGACCGTTCACATACTGAGAAACATGCAACATGTTTTTGCTGAAAATAGTTTGGCTGTACTTCTTGTTTATGGCTCTTGTTGTGGTTTATTGTTGTCCTTTCGCCCTGCAATAAGTCCAAACTACTGATGCAGATACTGCTCTTTATTTTAACTCTAACTAAACCTCCAAGGCTTTACCTGGTCAGCCTGCAGACCAGAGCTCCTTGGGTTTCAGGAGCCAAAAACTAAAAAAAGAGAGGCCGGTCGGTAACCGGTTTGGCTGATTAATGAGAAAATTTTCAATGCAAGCTTGTTAAAAAAACAAAAAAAATAAAATTATGTTCCTCAACTGGAAAGTTAGCTTCTTTTCGATAAAAGGTTCAGTTTTCGCAGATTGTTTTGTGGAACGTGACTCCTAATTGTGGATGTAAATCCTAATGGTTGATATTTTTTGTGCAGTATGTCTGACATATTCCACAGAAAATGCAGTTTGGGACACTGCAATACTACTTGACCCACGTTTGGAAAACAGCAAATCCATGTGCAGCATTCAGCTTCCTTGGCGCTAAACAAGCTGATAAAGAAAACTGGTTCTGTTGTGGGATTATTCTAGAACCTCTGCAGATGATGGTGAAAAGAAATGAAGAAGAAAAAAAAAAATCAAACTGTGAGCATCTTTTTAATGAAGAACCTTGAATGATATGAGTTACAACAACATTTAATTTCCCTTTTGGATTAATAAAGTAATTTTGAATTGAATTGAGTCAACATGCTCAAACTGAAACCAGAGTGTCAAACAAAGTCTCTAGAAAATAATTTACATTTAAACTCAAACAATCCCTGCGATGCGAGCATTTCTAATCGGTTGATCTCTAGAAATCAGGAACATAATGACGTCTCGTGGTTTTACAACAGAAGTACAAACAGATTTAGGAACAGCAAAGTGTGACTCCAAGAGTCAGTTTAGAGCATAAGATTTTTTATAACCATCAACTTCCAGTCCTCAAGAACTGCCGTTCTGAAACACACCCAAATCAAAAGAGTCAATTCCCTAAATCACAAACTGAAAAGGATTTTATCCAAAGTTGATTTCAGCTTTTATTCAGATGCAGAACCTCAGACCACCCCGTTGCTCATTTCTCCACTTACTCTAATATCAGCTAATACACTGAAAATATTCCATCAGTGTATCGTACTTGCAAACAAAAAGCTTTAGTTTGTCATATTGCATGACTTAAAGAACAGAAGCTAAAGCATTGTACTCAGAGAGCAGATCAGCAGAGACGTCCTCATACCTGCGTCTGTCTGCTGCCGGTGAATTATTCAGGAGAGGAAGGAACAGGAAAGCTTCTGGGTCACCATTATTACAGCAAAACAGGCAGGAAGTTAGCAAAGAGAGCAGCAAAGCATCAATGAGTGACATCATTTTGGAGCGAGTTGTGCAATTAGAGATGCACCAATCAGACGTTAACCTCAATTTTCTGATGCCAACAACAAAAAAAAAATAAAGGAATTACAAAATTATCCACATTTATGATTTAATGCACTAGCCCCTAAGCTGAATCTAGTTATTGTCACTCAAAAATGTTGAAAACAGGGAGAAGTTTTCTATTTTGATGCATTTAATGAATAGGAAAAAATTATTTTCTCTCCAATTTGACCACCTGAGTATCAGATGGAAAAATCAACTTTTTTTTTTTACGTCTGGACAGTTAAATTATGCATCTCCTAAAACTTAAATCAATCCATTTGATCAACTAGACAACACCTGAATTGAATCATAAGTATTTTCTTAATTTTGAGCGATCAGTCAGTCGATACTTTGATGTAAAACTGACCGGAAAACATGGCAACTCTAGGCAGAAAGACTTGGTGCAACAAAACGGTGCTACCAACTGTTAAACCGTGCAAAATTTAAAGTCACAAATATGATGGATGTCAAATAGCCTTGCAATTTTCTCTCCCATCTTATCTGATCCAGGTGGGGGGAAAAAAATCCCTGCAGGCTTCTGCACCAAGTTAGTTGAGAGGTTATCTGCAGCTGCCTCATAACCTCTGCAGGTCTTCCCCTTTTATCTCCAGGATTTATGCCTCTGGTCCGTGCCTGCACTGGGAGCTTTCCATCAGCATCCTGCAGGATCTGGAACGAGCTAAGGACTCAGAAGTCTCATATAAACTTATTTAAATGTCTCATTTGTGCATTTATGTCAACAAACGTCTCTGGTTAGCAGCTCTAACTCACATAAAGTTAATCACACTGTCTGGCTGGATTGCTTTTATTAGGAATCCTGCAGAGGAAAATGATGCAGTTCTCCTCAGCTGGCCCCTAAACGCCTCACAGCAGACCTACTTTTACCAACTTGCTACCTTGCTGATGAAAAAATAAATAAAAACTCACTCCCAGTCGAGCTGGAAACTCTAGAAAAGTTCGCAAATTTGTGAAAACCTCCGCTCTGATCCTGGAAAATGCAGTGTGCCTTGCAGCGAGGCGCAGGGAGAATCCCTAAGGAAGTTTTTCTGTTGGTTTACAAACACTGGAACCACAATGGCGGTGCGCCTTTTCTTTGAAAGCAGCAACGTACACGGCGCAGTTTGTGCGCCTTCTTATCTCCGCAACCTGTGCACCAAAACAAGCAAGACAGAGGGGGAAACTAAGCGCCGAACCTCCTTCCTTCCCCCCCTGCAACTGCTTTGCGTCTGCGAAAAGTTTGCGCCATTTTTGAGCGAGCTTGCGGCGCTTCCAGGACAACATGAGCGGGGAAAAGTAGCCTCCACTCACCTTGGCGATGGCTTTCTTGTACCGCATGACAGCCTGCTGGATAAGTGCGTGGACTTTAATGTTCCCGTCCCCGCACGGAACCACCACCCGGGTCCTGCCGAAGCACACAGTCACTTTCATGGCTCAGGCTCCGAGGACTTCCCCAGGTTCGGAGCAAAGCCGAGACGAGGAGGACAAATCCGAGTGGGAAGCACACGGGAGCATGGAGGGGGTTTTGTTGTTGTTGCCCGAGGTTATCCCGGTATTCCTGCCTGGAAAAAGGAGGACTAAATGTCGTCCCGCTTCTCCCCGCCGGACGACATTGTTGTCTGTGTTTTCAGACCACCTGTTTAGCTCCTCTCTCTCTCTTTCTCTCTCTTCTTCCTTCCTTCCCTCTCTGGATCCCAATCCTTCTCTCCGGGCTGAGCTAATGCTCCCTGCTGCGTTCAATGGCCAACAGGAGTATCGGAGTCAAGACAAGCAAACTTTTGTTTAAAAAACGCCATTTAATATTCAGGAAATAATGCTTTAATCTTAAGATTTAAAGTTTTAAAAAAGCATTCCTCCTGATATTTTACAATTATTTATCGCCCTGTGATGGAACAAGAAACTAAGAATAAAACAAGTCTTAAATCTCTGTATTTTGTCATAGAGTTGCTAAATTATGTGATTGGATTCAGTGTCTCTAAATTTTTTTTTACTATTCAACATTCAATTTGTAAATCAAACTGTTTTCACATCACCTTTCATGCGTCCTTTAATAAAAATACTTTTCAGAATAAGAAAAACAATAAAAAAATAAACTGTGGGTGGAAAAACTAACTCTTTAGAAGTGATAATGAAAAAAGGAAACTCATAATATATAAAAAATGAAACACCATATTTGTGAATAAATCAGCTTACTAATTTGTAAAGATTTATTTAACTAATACAAATGTAAGATGTATACAAATGACTATTAATGAAAACAATTACGCACACGGGTAAAAAAGATAAAAAGCAAGACATTTGGTTTTACTAAAAAGCAGTAACAACATATTCCATTTATTAATCATTCAGATAAAACCCCAATTTCCAGGTAAAGTTGGATATTTGATATGTTTGATATTTAAGTAAGATTCAAATATCTGTTACAAAAGAGGAAGGTATCAATCTGTGAGCTCTGACTGTGTTTTTCAGAGAGACAGCCTAGATCAGTGTTTCTCAACCCTGATCCTCACCACCCCCCTGCTCTACATGTTTTAGATGTGCCTCTCTTCCAGAACAGCTGATTCAAATGATTGCATCAAATACTGCAGAAGCCTGTTAATCACCCAAAGATACAATTCAGGTGTGTGGCAGAAGGGAAACACCGAAAACATGCAGGAAAGGGGGGCGGTGAGGACCAGGGTTGAGAAACACTGACCTAGAGGAAGAAACAGTTTCTGTAGTTCTTGTGTCATTGTTGGTACAACTTTTATTTTAACCAAAACAAATGCATGATGTTTATAGTGATTTGTAAAAGTACTTTTATTAAAAATAAAAACTAGAAAAGCCCCCAAAAAATAATAAATAGAAATGTTTTCTAAACTTTCCCCCTAAAGTTCTAAAACCTGCTGATAATCAAATTCTGAGATTAACTAAACCTAAAACTTCTGAATCCAACAAAATTGCAGTTTTTCTCTCAAGAAGCTGAATAGACACTGTAAATCAATTTCAAAACATTTGGCGATTGTGAAGCTGTAAATTACCAGCTGCTCCTGAACGCCTCAGACAAGCGAGCTCTGGCGCCGCTGTGTGGTCAGGACGGGTAATGTTTGAAGAGCCAGACTCAGCAGTGGGTAGATCCACTGTAACTCTGTAAGTTACAGCGGTGATTTAGGAAATCAGTGAAGAGTTTCTGATACAGAATATGATATTTTTTATTTTGAGTTTAGGGTGACTAATAGGAAATAACTGAAGGCTTTAAACAAAGACAATCTAGACTAAAAACCAAACACTTGTTATAAAAAAATATGCTATGCAAAAGTTTTAAAGTGCTACATATTTAATTAATAATTGTTTGCCAAACAATTCTGCTCTTTTTAGTGTATTTTTACTGTTTTATAAGATGAGCAGCAATCCTGTAGTCCTGACAAGGACTGAGGGTATCAGGTCATAGTTTTCCTAAATGTAACCAAAGAAATTTGGGGAAATCTGCTAAAAGTTTCCATTTTAAATAAGCTCTTTGTTAAAGTCTACCTTGTGGTTATGTTGATACCATTTTGGTTAATCTCCTGAGTTAAAGACTCTTTTTTATGTCTGAATCTCAGCTCAATTTATTGGCTTAATAAAAAAAGTTAATTCAAGAGGGTGTGGAGGGGGAAAAACAGACAAAATCCAAACAGAAACTCCAAAAGAACTCCTTTATTTACTCAGACAGAGACCACAAGGAAATCTGGCAAGTTAGAAGTCAATACAAAAAAGATTAACATCTAAGGATTAGGATCATAAATGACCCTAATGACCCAATTCTTTGGGTTTCAAAAGCCTTTGGTCCTGAGAAAAGTTTCTGTTTTATTCAGTGAGGAATATAAAAAAAGAAAAGAGTCTCCAGGTTCTGGATTCATGGAAACTGTGGGTGTTTTGTGGCTTAAAATGGGCAGAGTTAAAACAGAAGCTCTCCATCATGTGATGCCAGCACAGCTGGGAGGTTATTTTAACTCCCAACGCAGCTGGACTCCAGCCTCAGCCTCAGCAGCTGTCACAAACCATATAAATAGCTTCACATGTGGAGAATATGACCAAGTGTTTATGGGGATATTTATGAAAATGTGCAACCAAACCATATGGAGCAAAAATAAAACATAAACATTAGACTAATGCTTGGTGATTGTTTATCTCTTCTGTGCAAAACCACAAACTAAAGATAAAACAGTGGAAAAAATGATTAAACTCAAAGTAGCTTTGAAGAAAGGAAAAAAATTAGCATCTTGTTGTCATTTTTATCCATTCATGGCTTTTTGGTGAGTGTTTACTGAGGAGGAAGTAGATAAATTAAACCCTAAATAAATTAAATAAAAAACAGCAGCAGTGCTACTTAAAAGCAAAATGTCATGTGAAAGTGAAAGCTACTTAAATCTGCTTCATCATAAGGAAAATAGAGCTTACCTGCAGTAAATCATGTTTTCCATAAGAGTCCATATGAGTCTCCACAATTTCTTTCATTCAGGCCTCAAAGTGATAAAAATATATCAAATGTATTTATTAGTCTGTTTTAAATAGTCATTTATTGTTTCCATGTTTTTGTGTGATGCTGGAAACTAACTAATTATAGTATTTTTTTTAAAGTCAATAAAATAATACTATAAAATAATGTGGAATTAATATTAATATAAACAATTTAAGTAAATGTAGTGAAATCAGGTTTAAAATAAAAATAATTAATAAGCTTAAATGTTTTCAGCACTTTTCATAATTACTTAAAAAATACTATTTTATTTTTCCATTACTTATACAGGTTAAATCTCTCTGAGAAAATATGTCATCGTGTTTAAGGTTTCCACGATTAGTTGAACATGTTGGCCTAAATGTGTTGTAATTTTTCTATTAACTGAAAAAATGCTATTTGTGATACGTCAAAACTCAATTATTAAAAAAAAAATTATTTTGTTACATTTTTCACCCATGGAGGTCGCCATTTTTTCACCTGCGCAATGCATGCTGGGTTGATGACATGATATGTCCGTTCTGTACTGGAACATACACAGGAAGTAAACACAAGGAAGCTAACATTACCCGAGTTGTTTATTGCGCTTGAGTGTAAATTTAGACAATGCCACATTATGCCGCTGTTGGCTGTAATTTAAAAAAAATTAAATAGTGAGGTGAGTCTGGATCATTTCCCACATGAAAAAAAAAGGAGAAGAGCGCAGTGGGAAAGAGTGGAACACAACTTCTGAAGGACCCATGGTTGTGTTCTCAACATTTCTCTCCAGAAGACTTTGAGTTATTTGTAAGAGCAAAACTGATAAAGCCTCTAACAGGTGGTTGTTACCGTCACAAGCTAAATCCAAATGCAGTGCCACGCCAGTGTTTTGACAATCTGTGCTACCTTGCCACATTTTTTGACCACAGACAGCTATGCACATTGCTACATTTACTCAGAGTGCATTGCAGCATAAATAATACTGCAATGTCCATGTGACAATAAAAAGCCTACAATATTATTACTGTATTGTTTATATTTGATATTTTTCAACTAAAGTCTATTGATACAACTTTAAAGAAATACCTGTTTCAACACTAAGTTTTTTAAAACTATATTAATAACACTAATATTAAAATTAAAATAAGCAATTGTAAATAGTAATATTTTCCAAATATTTTTCAAAGTGTGAAAAGCGAAATTATTTAAAAAAATTAAATAAAGAGAAGTATTAAAAGCAGCTTTTTCAAGACTGCAATAAAATAAAATGCAAAAATAAAATTATGTTTGAATATATACACATTTATAATTGGATTGAAACAAAAGTACAAAAAAAATTCTTATATCTTTAAAAAATATTCTAAACATGAAATAAAGATCAATAATAGCACCATTAAATTTTAAGATAAATTCATTAAATGGGCTGCAATGGACTGGTGACCCGTCCAGGGTGACACCGCTTCTCGCCCGTTGACAGGTGGAGAGAGAGACCAGCACCGCTTCCGACCCCAATGGGATAATGGTGTAAGATACAGATGTAAGAAAATGCATGGATGGATGAATTACATGGGCACTATAATAATATTTTAAAACTAAGACAAGAAAACAAACAAGTTAGTTGAAATGATATTGACATTTTTGTTTATAGTAGTTTTTAATGATCAAAAAAATAAAATAAAGTTATTATAAAGTAAAATAAGCTGCGTAAATTCAAAATGCATTACATTTTCCAAAACGAGTCAGACCTGACGTTCACTGTTAACTGAGAACTGTTTCCGGATTAGTGGTGACATCTAGTGGTAGACTGCATGAAGTTAATTCTTCCTCGCTTAGCTCTGCAAGTCATTTATAAAAACAAGCTGTTGATTAATCACTGCACAAAATCTATTTCAGTAAACAGTAAATTAGTAATGAATTAAAATGTAAAAAACAACATATAGAAAATGTTACATGAAAGAATAATGGATCAGGAAAACTGAACAAAAGCTGATGATCTCGTCCCCATTTAAAGTCTATACATAGAAATGGTTTTTGGAAAAAAACAAATGTCATTGGGTTGGTAGCTGTTATTTAAAGCTGTGATCTGGTTGTCATTTATGCCATTTTTCATACATTTTTTGTCTTAAAATTCATGCAAGAATAAATCTACAGATATCATCACAGTTGCTATTAAAATTTGAAAAAAGTAATTAAATAAAAAATATGAATAAAAAAAGAAATTTAAGCATTTTAATGTATATGATCTTCTGTAACTTTTTATTGAGTTGGCTTCCTGTTTCCTTGTGGTAGAAAATCTACATTAGTAAAAGAGTATTCAAAATGGAGAAAACTAGAAAACATTCCATTTAAGCAAAGCATATGTGTGTTGATCTTCATAAGTCAGGAAATGATTACAAGAGAAATCCACTGACTTAAACTTGCCTATTATCTATAACTGAATCTGAAAAAAATAACTTCATTTTTTTACACAGTGAAAAGTACTTCAGTAATCAGTTTAATCATAAATTTTGAAAACACACTTACATAATTTTGCTTTTCATAAAGTATTCTTACTAAAAATCAGCATGAAGCTGAATTTTTGCAAACAAATATTGGTTAGGATGGAGGGCACTCAAAGCATCTCAGCTCTAATCTCTGTTCTAAAATCACTGTTTTAAAATGCAGCAATCAAATTCTAGCATTATCTCCTTTTAAACATTAAATATATTTATATTAATTTATGTGCTACAATTATAAGAAGCTACTAAGAACATAAATAAAAACATCCTCAAGTTTGATTTAACTGAAATATTTGTGAAGTTTCTTAGGTTATGATAGGCAGGAAAAGGGCACAGCAGACGCCTGAACGCATCTTTGATGGTATTAACAGCATGAAATTGTGTTCTGCGTCTATCCCAGGCTAATTTTGTGTTAAAGAGTTGTCTGGCACAGAGTCGGTGTGACTCCCTGCTGTCGGCCCTTTGAGCCACCCGAGGGTTCCCCTTCTGCTGCCGGTCCCCGGCCATCTGGACCTCCGTCAGCCATGATGAGGGACAGCAGCAGGGTAAGATGATACAGACCTGAGAAAATAAAATACAACAGCTCTAACTACTTACATATGTTAGTATGTAAAACTTAGAAACAACCAAAATGAAAACATGCTGTATTTTCCATTCTAAGAGACTTTTTCTTACCTGCAAGTCATAAATTTTGCCTCATACCAGAGAGATGGTGGAAACACTTTCTTTTGATCATTTTTTCCTCTATTTATTTTTATCACACTGCTGAGTATTAGCAGAAGCTTTGCCCTGTGGGATGGCGCTCTTTGATAACAGCGGGGGCAGTGTTTGAACAGCACGGTCTCCTGTGGCATGCACAGGGGACAGATGGTGACTCTGGGGTCAGTTAGAGTCAGATCTAAATAAAGATTTTTTACCAAGAACACAGAAGATTACAGTACTTTTAAATTACAATGGGAACACAGACGTCATGACATCAAAAGACTGGGATCAACTTAGTTACTAACATTACTGACAAGCACTATACTTCATAAACAAAAGCATTTTTCCCTTGTGTTATGCTAGTTACGACTTCTGAATTCTAAGATATAGTTTTATCAAAGAAAACAAATTTTCAAAAATTAAAATGCTTATCTACTGAGAATTTACACACATACAATATCTTCAATACATTTTAAAAAATAGATTGTATTAATTTATTCAAAGGTTACTTTTTTAAAATTTGAACTATTTTTATCATATCGAATTATTTATTAACTAAAAATTGACGCATGTTTGATAAAAGAAGAAGATATTTGAACGTTTTGGTTTGTGCACGATTTAGTGTTGATGTAATACTATCTATTAGACGTTAGGGGGCGACATTACTCTGCTCTGATAACAAAACATCCACAAAACCAGACAATATAAATATAATATCTGATTTAGTAAAACATATTTTCACCAAAACTGTTTTGTTTTGAACATTACTCTGCTCTGAAAACAAAACATCCAAAAAACCAGACCATGTAAGTTTAGTATCTTATTTAGTAAAACATATTTTCACCAAAACTGTTTTTTGTCTTTCAGGTTCACGTCTTGATATACCTGTCAATACTGTTAAAGTAGGCTCAAAGTAAAGATAAAGTTTCAGTCATTAATATGATAAAATACTTCAGTTTACAAAGTCAACAAAACAAACCAGAGCCAAAGTTAGTAAAGCGAATTAAAGTACAACGAATTATCTTTAATCTCTACATGTGCCCGCTACTCTATGTAAATAATGCGGTTCGGTCGTAAAAAGACGGGTTACACGGAGAAAAACAGCAAAGTTCAACATCTTATAGAATTAACTTATTCTGGAACATTATGTGGAAAATCGTGGCTACAAATGTCCTCTTTCCCCCCTTTGGCTAGCTAAAAGTCTACAAAAGACGATTTGTGCCAACGGTTGCTTTGTTTGTACCCTTCGGGCTAACTAGAACAAAAGTAACGAAGTGATTCCTCTTGCGTTCCCTAGACGATCTTCGAAGTTAAACTGACACGTCGAGCGACATTTTCGGCACAGCGTCATCAGCGCTGACGTTCGGGCTACGTGAGAGAAGGCGAGGCGCAGGCCGTCCACCCATACTGTCATTAGTGACGAGTCAGACTACGTAAAAACTTCGGTAAGTCGCCGTAAAGCTGTCACTTTCTTTTTAGGAGGGTCAGCGCCGAGCCGCTGGAAAGTACGCAAACGCATCCCCGGTGCGAACTTTTTCCTTGATAAAAGTTTTTTTTGTTGCCGTCAGTAGACAGCAGAACAACATGGTGAGGAAAAAAATTATATCAGAAGGTTCGGCTGTCAGCAGTTTGTGCAGCTCTGCGTCAAGTCCGAAAGTGTAGCGTAGATCGGGAGGACGAGTGAAATATTCCTCTTCAAAATAAAACATCTTTGAAGCAAAACATCCTGAAGACGTCAGTTATTTTAACCTAATGTCTCGAGAAAATATGCTTACTTTATTGAAATAAATATTCACAGAATACAGGAGTGAAATCTAAAGATGAAGTAAGAGAATAATATTTTTAAGACTTGAAATTTTATTTCTAAAACTGAGAGTTAAAGTTTTGTCCAACCCGTTAATAAAACGTTTAACTTTTCACGTTCATTCGCTGTCATGTTGTTTACCCAAGGCGTGGTTCCGTATAAATAAAATATCACACAGCTAGGCCTCTAAAATCGTGACTTCTGCATCCATTAAGAGTTTTGTTTTTTCTCATGAGTAAAAATGTAGAGCTTTAAAGCTGAGATTTTAAAAGTTTGTCATCTTCTTATAATAAATACTGGTATTTTACCTATAAAGTAGAGTTTTCATTAATTTTCCAAACATCGAAAAACAAACATTTCCCAAAGTTGATTATTTAAAAAAAAAATTAACTATTTAAAAAATATAATCAATCTTCTTCCAAACTCTGAAATTGTAAATTTAGGGGAATATATGTATTGTGGAAACTCATAATTTAATGGTTGAAAACTATAGATCTTCTGTTTAATGAATGAAAACTCTGGGTCAGAAGTGGTAAACATTTGGGTCCCAGATATGTTGTGGAACTTGAACTGGTTACCAGTTACACCAGTGGGCAGCCACATATAATAAAGACATTATGTAAGTCAGTGCAAATATTTCACAGACTGAGAAAACAATTAGTTTCATCAAAGATTTGAATTTAAATCAATTTACTTACAAAAGTAAGCAATTGAACTTTTGCCACGTGGAACATGACTTTATTTGACAGCTCTTAGAAAAAATGTAACGCTTCAATTGTTTATTTTTGTGTTTTTATGATGCAAAGGACTTTGAACTGCTTTGTTGCTGAAATAAAATGAAATAAAATTTGATTTGATGTGTATAAAGGAGATATTTGCAATAAATGTATTGTCGAGAAACCCATTGGCTCTGCCTGATACCGGTTGGTGTTCGTCTCTGTTGCCATGTTGATAATTGTGCGTATGCCTAGGTGACCATGGATTCATCGGTGTCGTCTCAGCTGGAAAGCAGTTTAAATGATTCAGTGACAGATGGAGAGAAGGATCACGGAGAGGCCAACCAATCTCCTGCAGACTCCAGTCAGGTACGCTCACATTGAGCTGTTGCTTCCTGTCAGGTGTTACGTCAGCAGATTTCTGTGTGACGTCATTGATTTGTACCAGCAGGTTTTGTTGCAAACAGAGGCTGAAGCTGCTGTGGTCCAGCTGTCTGATGGTCAGACCACGTCGGTTCCAGGAGTCATCCAAGCCCCTCAGACCTCGGTGATCCAGTCCCCACAGGTCCAGACTGTTCAGGTGGGACTCAGAGTTTTAATAGTTTCTTTACAGTTTAGTTTTATTTTGATGTGGCTTTGTGTTTGTCTAATTCGGTTAGTTTTAATTCAAGTGTGTTTGCTTGTGTTTATTAATTAGATATGATTTGGTTTTAGTTAAGTTTAGTAGTAGTTTTAGTTTTTTGCTACATTTTTCACTACAGAATTTAAAAAGTCAAAGTTTTGTGTTGTGATTATGTATACATTTACTGGGTAATAAACACTCAACAACAGATTATTCAATTATTATTATTGAACAACCAAGTGACTCTTGTGTTTTCTCTCAACTTTTGCTGTCGCCATTTTGTGGACTTGTGTAAGTGCCTCATCAGTTCAAAAGGCTAATAAATAGATTCATAAACATGAAAACAAAGGATATTATACCTGTAATTTCAGTATATTTTAGTTAGTTTTATAAATATAGTTCCAGTTAGTTATCGTTTTTACCCCATTAACCCTTTAACCTGCAGTAGAACAGCCGCGTGCCGTTTCTCCATTGGCTCTGGTGTAATTCTAGTTGCTTATCTGCATCCAAATAAAACTCTGAATCTCATTTAGGTCCACATCTAAACATCCACAGATCTAAAGCTTGATTTCATAATGTAGCAGTGTTTGTGAATGAACAGCAGCTCTGTGTGTAGGCGAGGTAAAGCATCTGTTGAGACGTGAAGAAAGTGAGAAGCAGAAACTGAAGTTTCACACTTCCGAAACTAACCTTCATATGGAGAAGATTTTCTGTTTGTTTCTTACTACAGTAGCAGAAAACAATGCAGACCAGAGAAAAACTCAGCTTTTCTGACTGAGAAATAAATATATTTTCTTTTTGAATCCAGTGCACTGAACAAAGATCTCAGCACATTAGCACTAAAAGAAAAACAAAACAAAACAGAGCTTAGAGAAGGGAAATGAAACAATAATTAACAGGAAACAGCATCAGCACGTGCAACATTAGTTGCAAAGTGGAGCCAAATTGTCATTTCATAAGAACGTGTTTTTATGTGGAAACCAGCTTGCAGAAAGATTAAATCTAAATAAGATACCTGGCTTGCTGTTTAGGATTAACACTACCACATTATGCACATGTAGAATAATTTCTTTCTTTTCAGAGCATGAAATCTGTTATTCTACAACACAGTTGAAGGAAATTGCTGATAAAGCCGTGTTTAACTTGGCACTGTGGTGTAGTGCAAATATCCTCGTCTAATGATACCAAAACAGCCTTTATGTTAGTAATACACAACTATTGCGCCTCAGTCTGAGTCATAAAAGCCAAAAGAGTGATGACACAACCCCAGATCTACTGTCTATTTAATTTTAATCCAATAATACACTTTAAAGGCGAGACATTTACAAGCATATTCATGCGAAAATGGACCCACACTTAGAGAGCAATGATTATACAGCATTAAATGGAGTCTGTAGAGTCTCTGAGACTTGTAATGGGTTGAAAAGATTAAATCTGAAAATTATATCCATCTCAAATTCCCTCTTTGACGTCAAAATGACTTGAGCAAAGAAAACACCCCCTGCTCCAAAGTAATAACAATAAACATTAGAGATCTTTGACTCACAATTTGTACAGTTTCTGGCTGAAGGACTCGTATGCCTTGCTGTTTTCCACATTTAGTGACTGATAAAATACCCGGTATTGTATTTTATTTGGATTTTTTATGTTAGATTAACACAAAACGGTGCATAATTGTGAAGTAGCAGGAAAATATGTTGTTTGGATTTTTTTTAAATAATTAAATATCTGAAAAGTGGGTTCAGAAAACACCTGTGTGTAGTTTAACCTCAGTATAAAACCAGCTGCTCTGTGAAGGCTTCAGAGGTTTGTTAGAGAACAAAGAGACTTATGCATATGGGGCTGCATTAGTGTCAAAATTTAGACTATTACACACCTGGATAAGGCTACTGTACTCAGTCTGATGTCAGCTACTGATCTGCAGACTGACACCGGTAACTGAGCCGCAAATGAGAAGGTGAATACTCACTGTGTTAGCTTTGAAGAGGCTGGTGGTGACAGCATCATGCTGTGGGACTGCTTTTCTTCTCCAGGGACAGGAACATTGTCACCTGATGGGAAGATGGATGGAGCTAAATGCAGAACAATCCTGATGGAAAACTTGTGAAACTAGAGTCTAGGATGGACAATTACCATGCACAAATCTATGCATGTTCATGTTTTAGAATGGCCTAATCAAAGTCCAATTTTTCCCAAATGAATTGGATTAATGGAGGCTGAATAGAAATTAGTTCCACGTTTACTTTCCACTTTATAACTATGTACCCCTTTGTGTCTGTGTTGTATAAAATGCTTTTAAATAACAAAATCAGTTTGTAATTTGGGGAAATGGTGAAAAATCAGAACGGGGATGAATCCCAGGTGTAGCAACTGCTGCCTGTTTGTTCAGATTGTTACAGTTGCTGAACTGGGGGATGGCGGGTCGGTTGGGGACACGCAGAAAAGACGGGAGCTCCTCTCCAGGCGTCCGTCGTATCGGTGAGATCCGATCAGCAGAAAGCGAAATGAAGACAAACAGCCTGTTGTTGAAAATCTGTGTTTGTTTCCTCCAGAAAAATCTTAAATGAGCTGTCGTCGGATTCACCGTCGGTTCCTAAAATCGATGAGGAAAAGGGAGAGGACGAAGCAGCGGTCTCCAGCAGCTCCACGGAATCAGTTCCCAACTCAATCTACCAAACCAGCTCCGGACAGTACAGTCAGTAGGAAAACTTCACGCTGATATTATGTGTTCTCTGATTCTAAACACTGGAGACACTGTGCTTTTATTTCCTTCCTTTTCTGATTGGAAACTTTGATTTCCAGTTGCTCGGCTGGGATTTCTGACTGATGTAAACAGTAATTGAATAATTGAAGCATTTTTTTTTTCTTGTACTATTCTGATTCAGTTTTTAAAGATTTTAAATTTGATGCAGTAGTTTGAATTTATTCTGGATTTTCTCTAATTTGTTGTGTCTGCTTCATAAAACTACACACAAACATTTGGATGAAATCCCTGATTCATCCCTGAGTTGTTCCTGGACTAATTTCCGTTAATTTTAGGTGACAGTTTGGGTAAGATGTAAAACTTTAGCAAAAAGGTTTCTCTAAACATCAAAAACCATTTTGGAGCTCATGAAACTTTACTGACACTAAGCTTCTGGAAACACGTTCCCAAAACCCCGACTTTAACCCTGGTGAAAGTTTGTGTGCTATACTTAAAAATACGATTAATGCCAGGAAACCATTCAGTTTAAATTAACTTTGTCAGTCCTGAGAAGATTCAGCTGGATTAATGGAAAATGAATAAAGTATCGATTTGAGTTTTTATGTATAATTTCGACTGAGAAGAAGGAAAATAAATTAGAAACCTGCATCCAGTTTTTGTTTTCATGTCAACAAAACTGCTACTTGTACAGTTGTTAAGCTGTAGCTGAAGAATTATTGAAGTGAATTAGTAAAATCTTCATTAAAGGCCATTTGAGATGGCAGCCTGGTTAAAACTGAACTCTGACCTCACAGTTGCCATCGCTCAGGGCAGAGCGATCCCACTGACCACCCCAGCAGTGGAAACCCTTCAGGGGGCCCAGACCCTGACGGTGACCGGCTCCCCGACCCCCCAGACCGGAGCCGCCGTCCTGCAGGCTGCAGACTCATCACACCAGTTCTTCTTACAGGGAGGACAGGTGCTCATCCAAGGTAATGTGGCTCATCATCACAATGAAAAAGCTCCAGTTCCACTGGCACATTATTTCTCTTATAAGATGGGAAAAATGTCTTGGTTTAAGTAAAATAATCTGTGGAACTAGCACTTTTTCATCAATATTAAGGAATTGTTGACTTAAAACAAGTGGCTATATTTTGCTGAAAAGTTGCTTGCAAGTTAGTTTTGTCTAATCAAGCATATTAACATATTTCCTAGACCAAAAATACTTGGTAAGATGTTGTGTTTTTGCAGTGCATGAGTAAAATTCATAGTAGTTTGCCCAGGAGGAACCAAACCAGTGGCTTGATGTCGCTCACTTCTCCCTCAGGACAGAGCAAAACTGCAGAGCGACTTGTTCCTTCACATGTTGTCACCATTAAAGTCACAAAATCACTGCTAGATTTGTCACGAGTTATGGAGCCCCCGTTTTTTTGCGTTACCTCGCAATAAGCGGTTTATTTTGTATATAGTCACAAATGTAAATTTCAAATTTCAAATATATACACATTTAAAGAGCCTCAGTGAAAACAAGATTGTATATTCCTAACTCTATGAAAACCTCATATTGTAGCAGAAGTACGGTGACCACCGTAAGAAAGACTTTCAGTATAAAATTATGCCGCATGAACTGATCAGTACGTTATTGTGCGAGAATGCAAAACCTATTGCGAGGTAACGCAAACGTTTTGTGAGGTAATGGAAAAGAAAAAAGTTTTTCCCCTGGCGTCTGGAGGGCTCCCCAGCTAGTTTCTTTAAAAAAACAAACCGTCGTTACAATCTCAGATCTGCTTACCCCCCCTCAGCTCATCCCCACTTGGCCACGCCCCTCCGCGCCGATTGGCCCCGCCCACTTAGGTGAATTTCTTTCAGCATTTGTCTGAGGGCTGGGTTCTAGTTTCTCAGAGGGGTTTGTTACTTTTTAAGAGTTTGGTGTTAACACCAAGAAAGGAAATAATGACTACTGTGGATGGAAGACGGTTTTCACTGTGCATACTAATGCATATTGAGGTATAGTTGATGTTTGGACTATTAAAATAGATTGTCATTAGCATTTTTCTGAAGTATTCACTGGTATCAGCGACTCTCAGGCGGCTGTAGTCGCTGCGCTGTGCGAACACTGAGGTCCACTGTGTGGGGAAGGTTGGGTGAATTCAAACTTTTGCGCTCCTTATTACAAACAGTAACTCTGGTTAATGTTGCGTAATAAGTAAACACCCTGGAAAGCCAATGTTGCCCCTTAATGAGTGTTTGCAAACTTTCCCACTCAAACTGTACCTTCCCTGTTTATTATCAGTAGCAGAAACGTTATTTTTCTCCAGTAAAGACCTGCAGTTAAAATGTTTTCCTTAGGCTCAACTCTTATTCGGTTGGACTCAGCTTGTGGATATAACCTCCAAAAATGATGTCAAACCTCAATTATCTTTCCCCTCCTTGTTTTTACCTTCTTCCAACACACAGTAAATAACCGCCCGACTGTTTGCATGGCAGCCACTTGGGACACAATATCCTCTTGTTTGTTGAGCGTCTCTGTAGTTGCGTCACTGGTTCTAAAAATACACCGCCCTCCTCCTCCTGCTCTTCATCCTCCCTCCCTCTCTGCCTGGCTCACATTGTGTTTCTCTGCCTCTCCGTCTGATCCGCACGGGCGGAGAAAGGGGAGGAACCAGCGCTATAATCCAGGCTGTTTTACTGACTTCAGCGGGCACCAGTGATGTCACAGTGATGTCAATGCCTGTAATTGTAATCGGGCTGCAAAGTTGGAGTGTGAGCACTCTCAAAGAGGGAGAGCAGAGAGGAAACAGGGAGTAAAGAAGGAGATTTAGATTCAAAAAAGAAGTAGAGGAGGATTTTTGGAAGATTCTTTGCTGAGGTTTTTCCTTCCTGCCGTGGTGCTGGATTATTGGAAACAAGAGATGGCTGTTACCGGAGATGAGACTGAGTCAGGTAGTTTACTCACTTATTTTTATACTTATTTAAGATGCTAAATGTTAGTTATTGGTGCTATTTTGTGAAATGGAAACAATCTGTAAGTGCAAACTGATCCATTTGGATAAGCTAAGAAGTAGATTTGGACATTGTAGCTTTATGTTTTTATTGGAAATAAGATTTGACGACAAATCTGCAAGCGTTCAGTTTATTTGTGTAGAGCTGTCTTTTCTGAAGCAGTAAAACACACACAGATCTTCTTAAGTGGTTGTCAGGCAGGCAGGCAGGCAGGCAGGCAGGGAGGAGGTGAAGGAGCGGGGCGAGTGGGAGGACCGGTGGTGGGGGGGGTGAGATAGATGCTGCTTTGACGTCACCGTGTTTCCTGGAACACAAGCAAGGCAGCGAAGAGAGAATGCAAAACGTGCGAGAGAGACGCACACGCTGACGTCAGCCTGAGTCACTGCGTTATCACAACCCGAGAGAAAAGAGTGCAGCGCTCTTTGTGTGTGTGTGTGTGTGTGTGTGTGTGTGTGTGTGTGTGTGTGTGTGTGTGCGTGCACCTGTTGCGTCTCTTTTTGAATGAGTGAAACTATGTTAGCTTAGAGAAGTGGGAACAGAGCAGAGCAGTTTCTTGTTGAGTCACTTGTCACTTGTGACTCAACTCAAGAAGAACATGAAACCACAAACAGAGCTGCTGCTCCCCCCACTTCACCACAGATGACTTTACTTTCCTTTTTAAGAAAAATGCTGCTTTCCTGCAGTTATCAGCCGCCAGCAGGGCTTTGATAAGCACAGCACCACCTCCCAAGTACAAATGCTTTTTCTTCCATGCTGATAATGTTTAGCTTGAATGAACATTTTTGAAAATTACTACTATTTGTTTATTTTGGCCCATAAAAGAATGAAAGGATGCAATATATTATAGTCTGACTGTCTTTGAAAAAAGGAGGAGGAATTAAGTCATTCACTATAAATGCTGTTCCAACCCTGTGATGCTCGTGGTTGTAACAAATCTGCAAGCGTTCAGTTTATTTGTGTAGAGCTGTTTTTTCTGAAGCAGTGAAACACACACAGATCTTCTTAAGTGGTTGTCAGGCAGGCAGGGAGGGTATTTGACTGTATTTATGCAAAAACAATTTACTTGTTTAATTTAAAACAGAAGAGCTGCTGCTATACAGTCTAATAGTTATTGTCATAGTTATAGTTATGAGGGTTCTGGGCTCAAATCCAAAGCTCTAAACATGCATGCATGGTTTCCTCCCACACTTAAAAACATGACTGTTAGGTTAACTGGTCTCCGTTAGGTATGAGTGTGTGCATGGTTGGGTGTCCTGCATGTCTCCATGTTGCCTGGCAACCAGTACAGAGGGTACCCCGCCTCTCGCCCAATGGCTGCTGGAGATAAGCACCAAAATGGATAGTAGTTTAGGAATATTCTTCCTTTTTGCTGAAGTTCACTTTAAAAAGTAACACTTGAATTAAATCTAATGTCAGCTCCCCCCAACACCTCTTAATACTGCATTTACTTTAATAAGACTAACAGGTGCCACTGTGAGAGTCCCTATTTTCCACATTTGGAAATATTCTCCATCGGCTTGAATGTGTCCTTCTGTGTTGGGCTTTTTCAGCCAGTTGACAGGCAGTGTGCAGCAGCAGTTCCACACTTCCAGTCCTGTCTTTGAACTTACTTTAAACTAGGAATCCTTTCAAATCGGAGGTACCGATGTTGATATCCAACATTAATATTGTTGTTATGGCCAATATCCGATATTATATATGTTTCACTACCATTTTGACACCTTTGGAAAAAATCCCAACCAGAAACAGATGGCAACAAGATAAAAATAAATATTGGTTGTTCATATCGACTCAGTTTATTTATCAGACCGATACCAATGTGTTAAAAAAAAAAGACTGAAATCGGCTGATATGATGTTGGTGTGGATATATTGTGCATCTCTACTTTAAACCACAGAAAAATGGTTTGGAAGCCTTTACACTGATAACTGACCCATGGCTTGTTCCAAACATATATTTTCTATTATCTGCAGATTTTGGGCTACAGGGCTAACCCTGATGTAGCAAATGTGGAACACATTGATGCTTCTTCTTAAATATTTAAGCTGATGCTGAAAAATCTGTTTAATTAATCAGATGACAGATTCATCAATCTGTCCTCCAGAAAGCAATTTAAAGTTCTCCGCAGAAAGTAGAGAGCATAATCATCAACAGATAAACAATAAAATAAACAAAAATAAGTGAAACCAACCATAAACTTTATCACCTCCTGTATACAGTAGGAGGTGATAGAGCACCTTCCTATTTTCCCTGGACAAAAAAAAAGTGCCCTTCTGAAATCTTTCTTTTCTTGAAGAATCTGTCTCTGTAAAAAAAAAAATCTCACTCTGCTCCCCAAACGTCTGTGTGGACAGGTGTTTGGGGCTCTGTGTTTTTATTTGGAGGCATTTTGAGACAAAGGAACAGACTGGGTTCTCTTTCTTTTCTCCTGCCGACCAGACATGTGATTTCCAGGGGCTACAGCCGTTTAATCCTGGAGCGTCAGTCACTGGTTAAGTCATTTACAAGGAGAAAATGAATGAACACATGAAATGACATTTGGCAGCCGATTTCCTGTTTATGGATAATTGCTTTCAGGGACGCAGGAATTTGGAACATGATGACTCCTTTCAAATAAATAGGTTTAAATCAGAGATCACAATGGCGTGTTTATATCTGGCGCTTTAAAGCACCGCATATAAACATGAAAAAGTAAAAGCTGCAAAAATTGCACGCCATCTTTATATTTTATGCAGTTTAGGTGAAACAAGAGTGAAAGAAGTTTGCAAAGTGGTCAGTAACGCTTTAGTTTTCTTTCTTGTTGGCCCACAGCTGCCACAGGAGACATTCCGGCCTACCAGCTGCGTTCGCCCAACTCGGGCCTGGCTCAGAGCATCGTGATGGCTGCGTCTCCCAGCAGCATGCAGAGCCCGTCGTCACACCACGCCGAGGAGATCACCCGCAAGAGGGAGGTCAGGCTGATGAAAAACAGGTAGGAAACGGAAACTTCCCATTAATCTACCATTAATAAATGAAACTGGAATGGACATGGTGTAGTTTTGGGCTTAAACCAATAAACTTGAATGATTCTTGCCACTGACTAGTTTTGTATTGACCAATGACATTGAAGCTCTAAATCTTAATTTGACATGAGTGAGCTTCAGTTATTAGACACACATTGCTCTGAAACTTTTTTCCATGAAAAATATGAATTTAAGTTCATATTAATCTAATAAAATCTCAGTATAATTTTAAACTATGCAAAGATAAAAGGTTTCTGTAAAGATTTTATAGCTTATTTCACAGTTCATTTATTTTATTTAGTATTTTCATGTCTTTTATAAGTACAAACACGTATAAAAAACTTATTTTTTCCCTTTATTTTAATTCTGAATGGCTAGTTGGATACATTGTTTTTGCTCTGTAGATGAAAATCAGGTCTGAAGGAGTTAAACCAGTGTTGTTTTGTCAGTTTGCTCACTAACCGTCGGGGTTTCTCTTCTCTTTTCTGCAGGGAGGCAGCGCGCGAGTGCCGCAGGAAAAAGAAAGAATACGTCAAATGTCTGGAAAACCGCGTAGCTGTGCTGGAAAACCAAAACAAGACACTGATCGAAGAGCTGAAAGCACTGAAGGACATTTACTGTCACAAAGCCGAGTAGCAGGAGACAGTTCACAGACTGCTGCAACATATCAGAAAAGAAGGACTACAGAACAAAAAATAAACTGCTTTAATCGTCTTTGTTTCTTTGCTCACTCAGGCCTGACGTACGCCAAATTATAAAGTGTTGTGGAGATTTCAGACAGCGCGAGCTTGCCAGTTTTGCTCTTGTTCTTAACCTGTGCTCTTTGCATGTGGAGACTCCTGAGTGTCGTAAACTCTGCGCTTGCTGTGGCTGATGTGCGCGAGGCGAGGCGAGGCCAGCCAACGAGGGCCGGTCAAACGGAGGGGGAGACAGGAAGAGGAGCCGCAGATGCTTCCTGGAAGTCTACTGAGAATTTTTACCAAAAAAAGAAAACAGCTGGAGGTGATGGAGGTGGGAAGGGTCAGCCAGGTCTCACAACCAGCAACTGTTTTTTTTTCTGTTTGAGTTTTTTATTTTTGTGGAACCTGGGTCAGATGAGCAGGAGGCACCACAAGATCCACCAGCAGCTTCGACTCAAAGCGTGTTTACCTGAAGATGTGCTTCTGTTCTGAAAGCTTCTGTTTTTGGTTGTTGCATCCTCAAAAGCACAATTAGGGAGATGTGATGTCACTGATTTCATTATTTCCGTCTTAAGAAATGTTTCTCTTAAAATTTAAATGAAAATAAAAGAGAATTCATTGTTTATAAGCGAGACTTCAACACCTGAATGTAAACCATGTTAGTAAACATCAAAATAAATTTATTTTTCTCTGCTAAAGTGAAACGAATATAAAATTGAAATCAAAGCACAGAAAGTAACACAATATTTCAGATTTAATTCTTTAAAATAACATATATTCTGTGAACATGTGTTTCCTGTAAAGGGAAATCTATATTAAAAGTCTTCACATAAACTGTTTTTAAGTTTTAAATGGGCGCCCTGTTTCTGAAATCCCCTGATGATGAAAGAAAACTGTATTTGTTTGTGTTCTGATTATTGAAGATACTCTGTTCAAAGGGTGATGCCAGTTTCTTAATCTGTTTTTTAAAGGACACTTTATTTTAAAATGCAGCTTCTTCTTAATAATTCTGCTGACAGTTAAAAAATTGCTAAATTTCTGTCTGTTTTGACATTGTTGAGTTTATTCTATTAATAATTGTATTAACTTGTTTTAATTTCTGTTAATCATACTGAAATTTTGCCTTTTGACTGCTGAAGCTCTTCTGGTGGCAGTAAAGTATTTATTTACTGTTTAACTCCTTAACATCTGCACATTTGTCATCAGATTTCCTTTTGCAGTTTGTACTTTCAGAGGAGTTTCATTCAGTTCAACTCTTAATATAAAGTGAGGCGCATTTCTTTGCACTTAGCTTATTTGGGTTTAAATAACTTCATCTTTTGTGTTCTTTTCTCTTAGTGTATTTTTGTGTTTGAATTGTACAACTGTTTTTTGTTTATCTAATAAAATTTTTAAACCTGACAGATTTTGATTATTTTATTGTCTGATATGAAATCAGTTACCTCAGTTTTGCTGTCAAAGCCAAGAAAATGTTAATTAATGCAGCAAAAAGTCAAAGAACACCAACATACAGAGTCAAAAATAGATTTTCCTCACTATATAATAAACTTTTTCTGGTTTAGATCACTTAGAATGATCAGAATTATAATTTACAAATAAAAAAATTACATGAATTTTAATAAACTTTATTACTTTTCTTGAAATTAAGAAGTTTGATTGACTGTTTCACCAACATCTCATGATTTATTTTGTTAAAACATATTTGTTCTTCATTCAGTGGGTAGAAAATCCAGAAATTTTACTCAAGAGTTTTAATTTTACCAACATGTCTCTTTAGACTAGAAGTAATATTAATATTTTGAGCAGACCAATCAGAGTCCAGACTTGAATCTGATAGAGAATCTTAAACAGAGCTAACAATTAGGGTTATGGCAAAGAGGGTTTCCTACCTCACAGACTTGGAGCTCATCAAAAATAAATATTAAAAATATCAGTGAAAACCGGTAAAAACAGGTAGTTATAAAAAATTGCTTGATTACCATGATAGCACAAAATGATCTGTTTTACATCATGAGCCACGATTCCTAATGCCTCTATCCAGCTTACGCTCATCCTGCCATCATTCATAAACAAGACGGGGAAGAAAAGCAGAATTTATGTTACAATTAGGCCAAAAAAGTATAACTTACATTTGTGAATGGGGAGTAACACTGTAAGAGAAGTCCACTGATACCTTCATCTTTTAATTAGTTGCCAAGTGCTTCTTAGGGGTATTTATCTGATTTTGACAAATTGATTTATAGCCTTATAGATACATAGGGTGGGGTTAAAGAAACACATCAGGTGTTAAGACACTCGAAAAACAAAATGTACTAAAGTAAGAGAAAAAGTTACAACTGGTCTAATTAAATAACTTAAATATATCATTTAACTTTTTTTTTTTTTACTTTTTCATGAGTACTTTTAGTTGATACGTTTAGACAATGTTTGCTTCTTTCTCAGTGAATCTGATTTATTGCAGTCTAAGCACCAGCTGTACTGCTCTCTGCTCGCTCCTCTCTTACGTCAGAACCAAAAGAGAAGGTGAAAGTTTAAGTGAGTTTGTCCTGTTAACGTTTCATGACGCTGCTTTTCAAACATCTTCACGGCCTTTGCTCCAGCTCGGCTAGAGTGGAAATTTCCACCTTGTTTCAAGCCGCCTACAGGAGAGCTGAAGCCGGTCACCCTGGCAACGCGATCCGTGATTCCTTAAGGCGGCAGCGGGAGCCCTCTGCTGGTCATAACACGTTACTGCAACCAAAATCATAAACCGTGAACAACCCCTTGAACATCCATCCATCCATCCATCCATCCGTCCATTTTCTTTACACGCTTGTCCCTCAGTGGGGTCGGGAGGGTTGCTGGTGCCTCTCCAGCTATCGTTCCGGGACAGAGGCGGGGTACATCCTGGACAGGTCGCCAGTCTGTCGCATTTATGTAGTCAAAACGTGCCCAAATATTTTATTTTTTCCAAATGGAAAATAGATTATACCCTGCGACAGACTGGCGACCTGTCCAGGGTGAACCCAGCCTCTCGCCCGGGACGTTAGCTGGAGAGGCACAAGCACCTCCCAACACCAACAGGGACAAGGGTGTTTAGAAAATGGATGAATGGATGGATGGAAAATAGATTAGACTATTGATATTAATATTGAACATTGTAGAACATTGTATTCAGTCTGATACATTGATTTGCATGTATTATCATTAATTTATGTTCATACACTTTAAAATTCAACAGAGGGGATGCTGTGGTGGCACAGGGGTAAAGCACAACTCATGCATGGAGGCCTAAGTTCTTGACGTGGTCGTGACAGGTTCAAGTCCCGGCCTGCAGACTCTTGCCTTCCTACACTTTCCTGTCTGATCACTCAAATAAAGGTCACTAGAGCAAATAAAATGTTAAAAGAAAATGTAACATGTAAAATTGCTTACAGTTCTCTAACTTATTTCACTATACTTTGCAATACCTGTTAGCACACTCCTTGACACTAATGATTATTGTGATCTTTAAAATACTGAACTATCTTATCAAGAAATCATTAATAATAAGATATGTACATATACAAGAAGCACGCCCTGACATGTTACTTATCAAAATATGGCAATTCATTTGTCGTAATAAGATGTGTCTTGGTATAAATGCAACATTAGGATGGATGTATATAACATGTTGCTTCCTTGGAGATGCCTGAAAATATTGTTTATGAACTTCATATAAAGCAATAATCCAGTCAACTTGCATTAAACCTAGCATTATGTCAGGGTCATCTTCATGTAGGCTCATCTGTTATCTTGGAACAATGCTTATTTTTAATTATATTTAATGATTAGAAAGAAGATAGTTTAGAGGCATATAACTACTACAAAAGAGACGCCTGATGTTTCTAAACAAACATTCCTCAAACTATAGCAGGTCTTTCTCCAAGAAAAGATCTGTTTGGAGATTTTTGCTTGGGTTGCATCCTATTCTTTAGGATGCTGGAAAATGCTGACCTCTGAGGAACACAGTCTGACATCTGATTAGTGCCACGTCACTGGTTTCCAGTTATACTAAAGGGGAGATTAACACAGGGACATGTCTCAGGTGCTAAATGAGCTTCCCTCCAGTCAACTGCTCACATTTAGCTTTCCATTGTGTTTCTGCATGGACTCCTTTAAAGCACTTTCACATTAATTATTTTGAGACAACTGCAATACAGATTCGTTAGCTGGAGATAGGCACCAGCACCCCTCCCGACCCCACTGAGGGACAAGGGTGTTCAGAAAATGGATGGATGGATGGATGCAATACAGATTGTACAATAGTACATGGCTCCTCTCCATGCACATCTCCAGTTTGAAAAATGGGTAAACACAACCTTGTGAATATTATATATGTTCCAGATACTTTTCCCATGACATAGTTTAAGAAACATCCTCCACAAATGCAACATAAAACCTCTCAGCCACATATGTTAAGAGACCCAAATTGTAAGTCAATCTTTCAACTGTATCTTCTACAATCGTAAAAAGAAACACAAGAAACCAGCGCAAGTGATCAAGACTCCCCAAACTTCCCAGGTTTCCAGTGACAACCTGAAGCTGTAACTACCATCTGAGGCTGAAATAGCGCCATCTGCAGGTTGGACAGACACAGGTCATCAACTCCTGATTTGTTCTCTCCTGGAAAATAAAAACTCCCAATGTTCAGTGATGTGCAGACCATTTTTGTACATGCATGAAGTGGATCATTCTAGAAACTACTTTAATATTTTCATAAGTTATTCTGATTGTGTGATTTTTTTTATGTCTACTTGATCTGTTAAGATTTTGGGTTTGGTTAAAACAACATTTGTAAAAAATGATGGCTTAACAGACATGAAGCTTCTTTTTCTTTGTAAAATGTCTCCTTATATATGGTCTTAGGAGCTCTTCAATAAAATGATTATGTAAAGTAGCATATAGACATCTTCTTTCAATTTTGAACTTTTAAAATAGCAGTAGGACCCAGTGTTTTGAGTTAATTTAATGTAAAATTACAAGTAATTTCATAATAACTCATAGGCAACAAGTTTTGTCTTCATTGCTTTTCCGTGAATCATCTATTAGTTTTTGCTTTTCAAAGCTTCAGTGGCTGAGTGTAGGATGTCCACAAGGGAATACCCTTAACCTGGAATTTCAATAAGCAGGTATTCTGTCCTTCTACAGCGTCTCTGAATCCATGACTCTGATCCACAGAGTCCAGACCACATTCACTGAGCCGCTGCTGGCTGGAGTTTATATTTATTACACTGGATGTTCTGCAGAGTTCTGTAAACTCATACAAAACAAGTTACTTTCATTCAAGTTGGGTCTGACTTTTAGTTAATAAAAAAGTCTATAGACTTTTTTGTTTCATGTCTAAATTGCAAATAAATCTGTTCTCAGAGACCTGTTCTAGTTATGTTCTGTTGTTGTTCTGTTATAATTTATTCCAGGAAGTTAGAAATTATTGGTAAACATATTTCTATCATATTTTTGTTTGAACACATTTAGTTGCATCTTGACACATATGAAGCTATGTTGAATATCTGTGGACTTATGACCTCTTGTGTTGCGCTGTAAATTTTGTCTTAGGATGAAACTCACAAGAAAGTTTTTCAGTTATTAATTTCTTTGGTGGTCTGTAAAGATCAAACATCTTACATGTATATTTTGTCATTCTAACGGTATGAGGAGAAAATAAATGCTGTTTGAGAAGATTCAAGTTGTTCTTAACTCCAACACATTTAGTTAAAATTTAATGTGTCAGTTTCAGCTTTTTATGTCCATATTCTCATTTAACTAGAATACAGATGATAAAAACATTTGAAATCATGTTACTCAGACTCTCTTATTAAGATGATAAAATCTTTAAACTTGTCACACATTCAACTTAGAGTTATGAAACTGTTCAAGCCTCACAGAAAAGAAAATGTATAGCTGTGTTGAAAACTGTTTGAAATTCGCATGAATAATATTGTTGATTTCTAAATCAGTTCATCCCAACAAAATAATTTAAAAAAGACTTTCTAATTTCGCTGAAAGCCCTTTTTACTTTCTCTTAAAAAATGACACCACTATTCCAGTAATACAAAATACTCTTAAAATGCATTAAAAACAAAAATAATTTTATCCTTTGACTATAAGCATCCCCACCTTTTTTTTTATATCTATGTTCCTTTTACATTAAATTATTGATTGACAAATTAGGAACAGAATACTTTAATAAAGAAATTAAATGTGAACGTACCCTGGTTAGATGTAAAATGGTATCCATCATATAAATAAAACAAAAACACCAAATACCAGTCATCAAACATTGCATTTACAAACACTGCATTCCAGCTTAACATATGCAAAAATATATACTTAAGTTAAAGAAACAATATAAATATATCTAATGCTGACATTTCTGTAAATTTTGTTTGAAGGCAAGATGAGAAAAGGATTGCCTCATATATTTACAAGAAATGCCTCAAAAGAAGAGAAACTGTCTGGTGAAATGTTTTTCTGAGTGGAAGTATCCAGTCTCCTCTGGCAGTTCTAACAAGTTTGGTCTTATCAATGTGACCATACTCAGTATGGAAGTACGAGTGAGAGTCACACCTGTGCTACCCGTCGTTCAATATGATCTGTGAATACTGGAGTCGAATCCTAATTTTCCACTCAATAACAATTTGAAGATTTAGCAACTTAGTCAACTTTATTTGTGTACCACATTTCAGCAACAAGCAGTTCAAAATGGTTTCACAAACTAAGACAGCTGCAAACTGCAGGGTTGTTGCCAAATACAGTAAAAAAAAAAAGAAGAAGAAAAAAAGAGATTTTCTTCAGAATATCCACTAGATTCAAACACAGCAACTGTTACTATCTGAGGGGAACAGGAAGGTGACACTCATCCGTCTACCTCCGTCTTATTGCAGTCACCCAGACAGGTTCACTCATTACTGTCAGGTTCAGTGCAGATAGACTGACTGAGAGGTGGAGGGGAGAGAAATAAGAGGTTTTGTAGCAGTTGCATACAAGGATATTAGGAGAACAGGAAGTCAGTGAATTTGGAATCAATGTCAAATCTTGAACATTAAATTGTTTCCTGAAAAATCTGTCGGTTTGGCAGTCAGGGAAGTGTCCTAGGCAGGACAGTTTATATTTATGTCAATATTTGACCTTCATTCTGAGTCACTTATTTTATATTCCAGCTTTTTGTCCTACTTGAGCTTTTATCTTGGTGTGACACTTAAGGATGAAAACCTTCTGGATACACACCTGCTCAGCTGTCTTAAGGACAATAATATTTAAGCATTGATATGTTTAAATATTTTGAATATGTTGTACTAAATTAAAACTCACTTAAGTGTCTGATGCATATTAAAAATATTAATTAAAACTTTTTGTTGTTTGCTTACACCACTACGCATCAGCTAAGATGTGATGCAAAGTGTGCCGTTTATATGTTTTTGTGATTATCTTTCAAAAACAACGTACACCATCTGTCAGTTTTAAGTTTTTAGCACAAAAAGACTTCAGATAATCAAAAGGGGTAAAAGCTTTACTAACATATAGTAAGTCTTTAAACTTTAAGTTTCTGCTTTAATTTGAGCATAAGAGACTATCCTTCCTCTGAAACCAAACTATAAGGAGAGAGATCTAATTTGTTACTTAAGTTCTCACCCCTTTGTTGTAATTTATATGTTAAATACATTGTCCTTCTCATTCTAGAGGATCTTTGTCACTCTTACATATTCATGTGCTTCTGCTCCTCCCCAGATCTTTGACCTCAAAGTGTGAGAACTGCGTAGTAAAGGTCAGGTTTGCCTTATTCTCATTTCCTTGTTCGCCAGGCTGATAGCACAGACCTGCTGCCTTTCAGAGTCAACGCTACGTTCTGTTTCACAGAAAGTGGAACTGTGACAGAAAATGTCACAGTGAAGGCGTCGGCTTGAACAATTAAAATTCTGCTGGACTTGCTGAAGTATCCAGTAAGTATTCCCAGTGAAGACAGCTACGGTATGAAGTATTACAACCTTTTTAAAATTCTGAACCTTGAGGCATCAAGTTGAGCTAAAATAATAATCTTCTTCCTGAAAAACAAGAAAACAACAGAACTAAATTCAATTTATTCTTGTCTCATTTCCTTGTTTCACAGAAACACCTTAACTCACTCTGCCAGTTAACCATGCCACTCCTACATATTTCTCCTTTTCCACCCCGTCAGAGCAGATGGGAAGTTCATATATCAAAATTGAAAGTATTTGAGGGTTACAGTTAAGAGGAAAATGGCGCAGCAAGAAAATCAACCTGACCGACTAAAATTCTGCTGTTCGATCTGTCTGGATTTACTGAGGGTTCCTGTGACGATTCCCTGTGGACACAGCTACTGTATGAACTGCATTAAAACCCACTGGGATGGAGAGGATCAGAAAGGAATCCACAGCTGCAGTCAGTGCAGGAAAACCTTCGTTCCACGGCCTGTGCTGGAGAAAAACATCATGTTAGCTGATTTAATAGAAGAGCTGAAGAAGACTGGACTCCAAGCTGCTGCTGCTGATCACCGCTATGCTGGACCTGAAGATGTGGCCTGTGATTTCTGCACTGGAAGAAAACTGAAAGCCATCAAGTCCTGTTTATTCTGTCTGGCCTCTTTCTGTGAGAAACACCTTCAGCCTCATCATGATTCAGCTACATTTAAGAAACACAAGCTGGTGGAGCCGTCCAAGAACCTCCAGGAGAACATCTGCTCTAAGCATGATGAGGTGATGAAGATGTTCTGCCGCACTGATCAGAAGTGTATCTGCTATCTCTGCTCTGTGGATGAACATAAAGGCCATGAAACAGTGTCAGCTGCAGCAGAAAGGACTGAGAGGCAGAGAGAGCTGGAGGAGAGACGAGGAAACATCCAGCAGAGAATCCAGGACAGAGAGAAAGATGTGAAGCTGCTTCAGCAGGAGGTGGAGGCCATCAATCTCTCTGCTGATAAAGCAGTGGAGGACAGTGAGAAGATCATCACTAAGCTGATCCGTCTCCTCCGGAAAAGAAGCTCTGATGTGAAGCAGCAGATCAGATCCCAGCAGGAAACTGAAGTGAGTCGAGTCAAAGATGTT